TATCCTACAATGTTAAATAACCCAATATAAGGTTTTTTTCCCTTGCAAGTAATATAAACTTTTGAATATCTAAGTAAAAGCAAGATGGTGGCAGTTTGAAATCTACTGTTTAGAAGATTGATCTAGGTAATGTCACCCAGAATAATGTCTTCAGATTATACCTGGTGAAAATCCTCTGCCAGGACTTCCTGCTGCTATCTAATTACCTTGTGTACTGTGCTGCATAATCTTCCCCTAAAATTTATGTTCAACTAGAAACTCAGAATGTGACTGTATTTAGAAGCAGGATCCTTGCAGATTTAATTTAAGAGATCACAATGGATTAGGGTGGGCCCTAACATTTGGTTACAGAGGCACAGAGAGACAGAAAATGAAGAAGGCTGAGGCAGAAATTAGAGTTAAACTGCCACAAGCCGAGGAAGGCCCAGGGACACTAGAGGTTGGAAGCAGCAAGGAAGGGTTGTTTCCTAGGACCTTCTAAGGAAGTATATAGCCTTACTGACACCTTGACTTCATATTTTAGCCTCCTGAATCATGAGAGAATAAATTTCTGTTGTTTTAAACCATCTAATTTGTGGCATTTTGTTATAGCAACCTTAGGTTAACTAATATACCTTGATTGTGACTCTTACACATCTCTGTTCAACCTTCTCTAAGAAATGTAGTCCATTGGGAGATAATTCATTACATACAGTATTAAATCAGTCTTCTGCTTCTTCAGTACATTTCTAGGTTTCCTGATACAACACTGGACTTCTTACCCATTTTATCTACCTTAAAGAGATACGAGAGAATCTGGGAAGAAGGCCTTTTTCTGGTATCCTGAGTCACTCAGTGACAAGCTCGAATGCTGAAGTTTATGGGTCAAACATGCTTGCTTGAACTTTACAGAAAGCATATTAAAAGCTGTGGCACAGCTTTTATGTCCAATGAAGGACATAATTTTTCAGGTTGAAAAGGCTCAACACAATATATGAAAATAGTCACATCAGAATACTGACTTTACAAGCTTTCAGAAGAAAAAAGCAAACAAACACAGCAAATCACACACACAAAAATAATAATTATATCACGTACACTCACATACACAAATTTAAGAATCAGGATCAGAGGTCAAAAGATAATAAAGCAATGCTTCTAAATTGCTGTAGGAAAATAATTTTCAAACTAGGTAAGAATAAAAATACTTTGAGAAATGTGAGGTTTAAAAAAGTTTACATCCATTCAATCATTCTCCCAAGAAGTAGCCAATGCTTCACCGCTAATATGAAGGATACAGCAAATGAGGAAGGCATGGGATGTAAGAAAGAAGTGATCCAGGCAAAAGAAATGCCCATTATGGTGACAGAAGGTTTAGAATTAGAACACCTTGTTTATTAAATATTTTTAAAGGAGATTTCAGTAACTGTTGAGGGGTTTGGTGCTATGCTAGAGAGAACATAGAAAACTAACAAAACAAACATAACAATGATAAACTATAGGAAATAGAAATATTATGGAAAGGGAAAAGTAATCACTCACTACATGACAAAGTTAAAATAACAATCACAAGATGTTCGTTTAATCTAAATTTATGTTATCCTATTAGTCCTATATAATAAAGAGGTAATATGCAAATTAACCATCATGCTGTCACAAATGGCTCCGCCAACAGTGGAGGCGGGGTTCCCATAACAAGCAATCAGCAGGGACCTGAGGCTGCTAAGGTTTTTTTCCCTTGCAAGTAATATAAACTTTTGAATATCTAAGTAAAAGCAAGATGGTGGCAGTTTGAAATCTACTGTTTAGAAGATTGATCTAGGTAATGTCACCCAGAATAATGTCTTCAGATTATACCTGGTGAAAATCCTCTGCCAGGAGACCTCAAGGAGCGCCCCTCGCCCTGGACTGGGGAACCTCAGGCCATACCCCTGCCCCAGTGCCAGAACAGGGGACCTCAGGGCATGCCCTTTGCCCTGGGCTGGGAACCTGAGGCTGCACCCCCCACCCAGTGGGGCTTCACAGGAGACCTAAGGCTAAGCCCCCCACCTGGCACTGGAACATGGGAC